GTACCAGTTTTTCCTTTCCATATATAGGGCTTCTTTCAGAATGTCTTTCAAGGCAGGCCTGGTGGTAAAGAAATCCCTCAGCATTTGCTTGTCTGGAAAGGATTTTATTTCTCCTTTGCTTTGAAGCTTAATTTGCTGGATATGACATTCTGGCTTGAAAATCCTTAAGAATGTTGCATATTGATTCCCAATCTCTTCTGGCTTATAGAGTTTCTTCTAAGAGGTCCACTGTTACTCTGATGGGCTTCCCTTTGTAGGTGACCTGGCTTTTCTCTCTGGCTGTCCTTAACGTTGTTTCCTTCATTTTGACCTTGGAGAACCTGATAATTATGTGTTTTGGGGTTGATCTTCTCATGGAATATCTTAGTGGTGTGCTCTGTATTTTCTGAATTTGCATATTGGCCTGCCTTGCTAGATTAGGGAAGTTCTCCTGGATAATATCCTGAAGTATGTTTTCCAACTTGTTTCCATTCTCTCTGTCTCCTTCAGGTACTCCAATCAATCGTAGGCTCAGTCTTTTTCCGTAGTGTTATATTTCTTAGAGACTTTGTTAATTCCTTTTCATTCTTTTTTCCTCCCAATATTGTCTGCATGCCTTATTTCAGCAAGGTGGTCTTCAAACTCTTCTATCCTTTCTTTCACTTGTTTGATATGGCTATTCATACTTGTGTTTGCTTCACGAAGTTCTTGTGCTATGCTTTTCAGCTCCATCAGGTCATTTATCTTTCTCTCTAAACTGGTTATTCTTCTTAGCAGCTCCTCTAACCTTTTATCAAGGTTGTTAGCTTCTTTACATTGTATTAGAACATGTTCCTTTAGCTCAGCAGATTTTTTTATTACCCATCTTCTGAAGCCTGCTTCTGTCATTCATCCATCTCATTCTCCGTCCAGTTCTGCACCCTTGCTGGAGAGGCATGGTGATCATTTGGAAGGGAAGAGGCACTCTGGCCTTTTGAGTTTTCAACATTTTTTGGTCAATTATTTCTCATCTTCATGAGTTTATCTAGTTTTGACCTTTGAGACTGCTGACCCTCGCATGGGGTTTTTGTGGGGACATTTCTTGCTGTTGATGCTGTTGTTGCTTTCTGTTTGCTTTTCTTTCAATGGTAAGGTCCCTCTTCCGTAGGGCTGCTGTGGTTTGCTGGGGGTTTACTTCAGGCCCTATGCATCTGGTTTGCTCCCACACTTGGAAATGTCACTCAAGGAGGCTGGAGAACAGTAAAGATGGGTCCCTTCTCTTTCTTCTGGAATCTCTGACCTCAAGGGACACCAACCTGATGCCAGTAGGATCATTCCTGTGTAGGGTGTCTGACAACCTCTGTCAGAGGATCTCACCCAGCTTGGTGGCATGGGGAACAGGACCCATTTAACAAAGCACTTTGACTGTCCCTTTTGGAGGGGGTGGGCTTCGCTGGGGGGGAAACCCACTCATCTGGGCTGTCCAGATTCCCCAGAACTACCAGAGGAAAGGCTAACTCTGCTGGTCCACAGTGACTATGACCAACATTCCCCCTAGAGGAGGTCCGGGGAGGCCCAGGTTCTGTCCCTGAGCCTCTGGCTAGAATTGTTGGAGTTCCTACAGGGACGTCTCACTCAGTGGGGAAGGATGGGTCAGGGTGAGGCCTGAAGAGGTGCTCTGGCTGCAGTCTGCCACAGCTGTTGTGTTGGGCTGTGGGGAGCACTTCTCGGGGACCAAGCTATCCAGCGTCACTGGCTCCAGCAGTGGAAAAGCATGCCCTGGAGCTATAGAGCTGAGTGTCGCCCTTCCCCGACCCAGGGAGCTTGGCGTGTTAGGCAGTTATGAGTCCCAGTGCTGGCTACTGCCCCTTCCTTAAGAAGCACAAACAGCGTAGGCAGAAGGCAGCCACACCTGATCACCCCTCCCTTAGGGAGCTCAGCAGGTTTAGGCAGATTCCAGCTGAGAGGCTGTTGAGAATCTGCATGGCTCCAGGGTTGGGACCCTAGGCCCCAGTGGCGTAGGTTTGCAAGTGGGATCTTCCAGTCTGTGGGTTGCACAATTCCGTGGAAAAAGCATGGCTTCTCTGTCTGGGTAGCATGCTCACTCACCACCTCCCTTGGCTGGGGGGGTGTTAGGAGCTCCCCTGCCCTGTGTGGCTCTCAGGCGGGCCACCACACCACACTGCTCTTCCTTTCTCTCTGTGGTCACATCAGCCACCTAGTCAGTTCTGATGAGAGAATCTGGATACCTGGGTTGCCAGTGAAGGAGTCACATGCTAATTATGGTTCTTTTTGATATGACCCTTTGATTGCTGCTGTTTCTACTTGGCCCTCTTGGTCCTACCCATCCTCTCTGTAGCTTTCAAGTATTTTCTAACGTATCATTCTGTATTGTTTATTAGAAAAACACACAGGTCTATACAAAGTAGAGGATTTTCATTGTATAATTTTGAGAACAAAATGCCAGTTAAGGTCTAATATTAGCCTTACAAATATATATATGCACACACACAAATACACACATATTTACACAAATATATGTACGTATGTAAATATATATATCATATGTATCAAACACACACATTCATAACTCATTTAAATATACTCATATACTTAGGCTTTATGCATTCAATTTTACCAAGTGTTAAATATCTTGAGGATCCTGAAGGAGATATAAGATGTGGTTTCTACTGTAGGGGCAGAAAGGTGTGATACCTTTCTTCCTTATAAGGGTCATGGCTGACACTCCTATAACAAAAGACAGGTTAACAAGAAAAAAAAATAACAAAATTAATCAAAGTTTTGAATGACATGGGAACCTGAAGACCCAAAGACCCAGGGGAAAAAGCTTGTTTTTCTGCTTAAATTTGAAGATTTGGCAGCTGTGTAGACATGTGATTACACAAAGGATGTGGTCTAATTAATAGACTGAGGGGAGAAACACAGTGAAACCCACCTGTTCAGATTCTTCTTGGTCTCTGTGTAGCATTTCTTCCTCCTCGATATACAACAGGACCTCTCTTTAATGAGGGTCTTATGATCTAGACAAGGTAGATCAGAGAATTTCTTTATAGCCAGTTCCTACACAGAAAGTGGAGGGTTGGGGGTTGTTAGAGTAACCATGCTAGGTTTCATGACTGGCTTAGTGTCCATGACACATCTTGGAGAAGAGGAATTCCAATTTCTGTGGCCTGCCTTGTGGGAGAAAGGTGAGCAGAAGCCGTCAGGGCACGAGGAAGTCAGAGAGAGACTTTCCTTCTGAGGCTGTTTCTGAGGACGTCCAACTTCCTGTAATTCAAAGTACTCAGCACACCAAAGTGCCCTCATTTGGGGTATCGGTTTCTGAGCCCAACACTGGCTTCTATTAAATTAGAAAATCTTTAGAGAAAAAAATGACGTGGAATTGTGACAAATGGTCTAGATCGTGTGGTAACTATTCTTAGTGTTGTGGGAATTTAAAGAGGAAGATTCAGTGAGGAGTGACCCAAGGGGAAGTTGTTGTTTTTTTTAAAACCAGATTCAACACTTCAACTCTTCTTTAATTCAGATAGGACAAAGAGTATGTAGGGTATCCAGCTAGGGAAGAAAGAGAAGCAAGGGCAAGTTGATGTGAAAAAATGGGGCGGGGGGTGGTAGAGAGCTTGGAGCAGGGAGTGTCAGGCATAGAAGCCCATACAGGGATTTACGATGAGACAGGAGTTGGGTGGAACATAATGCAGAGAGCCATAAAAATCCAAAAGGAGAGCTAACTCTCATATGGAAAGGAATATAAAACTATTCCTTTTTTTTTTTTTTGAGACGGAGTTTCGCTCTTGTTACCCAGGCTGGAGTGCAATGGCGCGATCTCGGCTCACCGCAACCTCCGCCCCCTGGGTTCAGGCAATTCTCCTGCCTCAGCCTCCTGAGTAGCTGGGATTACAGGCACGCGCCACCATGCCCAGCTAATTTTTTGTATTTTTAGTAGAGACGGGGTTTCACCATGTTGACCAGAATGGTCTCGATCTCTTGACCTCGTGATCCACCCGCCTCGGCCTCCCAAAGTGCTGGGATCACAGGCTTGAGCCACCGCGCCTGCCCCGAACATTTTAATTTTTACACAGAAGATAGCATATGATAGACACTCTTCTGTACCTAGCTACCCACCCTATTTCAGCCTCATATATGCTTTGAAGGCTTCTTTTGTTGGAAATGTTGAACCACGCAAATGTATTTTAAAAGTATTTTAAAAGGGATGTTAAGAGTATCCCAGCGTTGTTCATTTCCTCAAGTTTATTTAGTCTTTTGACACAGTTTAACATATTTGCATTGTTAAAAGCCAAGAATAAGTGAGACATTTGTTGCAAAGATACTGGACATCCCTAGTATATTATGAGAGAGATGTTAAAGGGAAAAAGTCATTAGACTTAAATGTATGTTTTTATCTCTTGACTATATCCTGGAGATATTTTCATAGAGCATAGAGATCATCTTTATTCTATTTTTACAGCTGCATAGTATTCCATGGCATGACCATGTAGGCCACCTCACCTGAGTGTGTGTGCACCTGTGTTAGTGGGCCTGGAGAAGGATTGGCAAGGTCAAGAGTGGACACACCAGGGGCCTCAGTAGCTTGCCCCAGGTTCTCCTCCGTGGGAGTTACATAGTTCTGCACTTTTTCAGCAGTATCTGAGAGTATCTGTCCCCTAGCATTTGTTGGAGGATGTTCAGCTTTTGAAGTTGGTCAGTATAATAGGTAAGCAATGTTATTTCAAAGTAGTTTTCATTTGTGTTTCTTTTACAATGTGATTTCAAAGTTAAGGGAAAGATCTGATGTGGGAGGAAAGCTTATGAGTTTAGCCTTTAGCCTGTTGTAGTTAAGGAAAATGAGAGATCAAAGAGAGTGGGAGTTCTGGAGAAACGCTGGGACCACTGAAGGGGCAATTTGAAAGTAATCATGTATCATTAGGATCTGATTATTTCAGTTGTGTTTTTTCTTAAAAATCAAGCAGCTTCATATAAACCAGTATTATGACAAATCTCACTCAAATTTATTTTCCTTACAGTGCTTTCATATTTTTGTTCATCAAAAGTGAAATACCAAATAACACGTGTTCTGTGGATACCACTCCGTTAATAACAGAGCATGTGAGTATAATATGAGACAACACGATCTGAAACATAAAATTAAGATAAAAGGAAAATACATAAATTTTAAAGATGAGAAAGTGGTGTTTGCTCATCATTCATGGCTGTTACATATCTTAGCATATTCCTTATGGCTAGGTCTATGTAACAATCCCTCTTTCCACAGTTAAGCTTCTCAGGAAGCACACAGCTTTATTTATTTTGATTAGCAGATCTCTACTAGGGGATAGATATATAACCTCATAGTTTGTAATGATTTAAAGATTCCTACAACAGAAGAACCCTAAATACTTCAGAGGAATGTGAAAATAACTTTAGAACGGGGTGGGTGGGGGAAGGTTTTGAAATTGGCTTGGGGGAGAATAGGCCATAGACAGCGCATGAAAGGCAAGTGAGATCATAGGTGAGCAGGAACTGGACCTGTTTTGCTTCTTATTTCTTTTCTCTGTCATATCCCATTCTACCCAAAGTTAAAAATAGAAACTATGTTAGGAGTCACTGTTTTGACCTTGAAGAACCCACGTGAGTCTGGAATAGTAAATTTGAGTTAAATAGGAGCAACTTTTAAAAGGGACCTGATGCAGCACAAATGTCACTAGCTAAGCATACAAAAGTGACTTCAGGGCAAAGCCTCATTGCCACGAACCCAGGCCCTAGTTCTTCTCATCTCAAGAGTCTCTCCTGTCTGCCCTGGGCCAGTGCTACCCAGGTGCCCTCTGAATCTAGCACGCCTCACCCCCAGTGAGGTATTGCCTCTTGGCAGGGTGCTACCTCTACTCCTTACTTCAAAATTAATCTTTCTTTTTTCCTTCTTCCCCTATCAAAACTTTTATCAACTAAAACCTTAGTCAAATTGACACTAAAATTGAATAGTAATTAACTTAAGTGTAAAGATAAGAGGTTTATGAATCCACAGCCATCCCTAATCAGGGAAATGTTTCAAGGAGAAGGGAGAAGTTGGCTTTAGGAAAGGGTTATTTGCCTGCTTCAGGGATCCAGACACCTCCTGCCCAACCAGCCTCCAAAACAAAAGAACGAAATGATAAAATAAATGCAACTTGGTAAAAGACACACAGTAGGCTAACTGCCTGAGAGTTTTCTAGGCAGTAAGTTTAAAGATCATAAACAGCATGAATGGTGGGTATGCAACCATGCATCATGAGCTCCTTATGATGAAAAAAAGTGTTATTGCCGAAGGAAAACTTGACATAGCACATGACGAATAATTCAGATCTACTTTCTTGTCTCTTACAAAAGCAGCAGGAGTATAACATCAAGAACACTTCAGTTGGCCACAATCACAGCACTGTGGGAGGCTAAGGTGGGAGGATCACCTGAGGTCAGGAGTTCGAGACCAGCATGTCCAACATGGTGAAACCCTGTTTCTACTAAAAATACAAAAAAAATTAGCTGGGTGTGGTGGTGCTCACCCGTAATCCCAGCTACTCAGGAGGCTGAGACAGGAGAATCGCTGGAAACTGGGAGGCGGAAGAGGTTGCAGTGAGCCGAGATCACGCCACTGCTCTTTAGCCTGGACAACAGGAGTGAAACTCCATTCAAAAAAAAAAAAAAAGCTTCGGCTTAGAGACAGTATTATAATACAGCCCCCTTATCCTCAGGGGATATGTTCCAAGACGCCCAAAGAATGCCTGAAACCACAGATAGTACCAAACCCTAGATATAGTATATCTTTGAATCTGATCACTAAGACAGCAACTAAGTGACTCAGTGGCAGGTAGTGTGTACAACATAGATAGGCTAGACATAGGGATCATTCACATTCCAGGCGAGATGGAGAGGGACGATGCGGGGTTTCACCACACTATGCACAACAGTGTGCAATTGAAAACTTAGGAACTATTCATTTCCAAACTTTTGCATTTAATATCTTTGGACTACTGTTGACAGTGGGTAACTGAAACCACAAAAAGTGAAACTACAGATAAGGGAGGAATACTATAATTCCATGTAAAAATAGGAATTTGCTCATTTTTCCTGACTTAGAATATTAGCCCAATTTTGAAATATGGCTGGGAATGTTTTATTAACTAATAACTTTTTTAAAATCAGTGTAAGAAATGCTTATTGATCTTAAGCATTCCATAGTAGGACAGTCTGAGATTCTCTTTGTTCTAATTTCGTTACAGATTATGCAGAACATCAAAATATGCAAATGAAACATGAGTTAATAAGTTTGATTAGATTTATAGGTGTATCAAAATAGCCACATATTAAATGTGACAATTTGAAATGGAGGACTCGCCAGCTGCCAAGCCATCCTAAATGAAAGAGGAAAGAATTTGAAACAGTTGAGTTTAGAGATATCAGAATACATAGGTGACATGTTTATTCTATTTTAAAGCATGTTTGAAAGAGAAGAGAAAAGCACTTGAAATATTGTCAGCAGTGTGATTATCAAGTGAGTGCTCTTTTTGTTTTAATTTGTGCCAATGTTTTCAATAGGTGATCAACAAAACTCAACACCCCTGTTCCTGGGTGGATAAACTTTCTACAGTACACCACCGCATAGTGTAAGGAGAGGTTACTTCTTTGCTCTATTATTCTGTTTCATGTTTGGTTAAAGCAGGATTACTAGCTTGAAATGATGTTCATCTGAGTTCAAGAAAAAAATAGTAATGCAAGCTCTGACTTCTGTCTCCATGGGGTGAGGTTTTCTTTGTCCCCTGCTGAATTTTAAGTACAGATGCCCTTGAGCTCAACTGCTTCAAGTAATTACTAAATCATTACCCTTATCTCTAAATGACAAGTAGATAATAAAAGCAACCTAATTTTGCATGACTTGTGTAGCTAAAGTAAAAGAGGCAGTATTGTGACCAATCTGCTCTCAGCAGTCACAATCAGATTAGGTAATAAACACCACCCAGGATCCCAGCCCTGCTCTGGGAATCTCCACACTCCTGTGTTTAGACAGTTTTATAATTTCAGACACTCGTTGTCAAATATAGTGGAATATTCTGTGTCCTTGTGGGTCCTGCTCCCTCTGTCTCCATAAGGACTCAGAGATTTGAGCTCAACATCAGCCCCTCTAGTTTAGGGTGTTTGCTTTGTTTTGTTTTTTGGACTTCCAAATAAATAGGAAAATACACACTATTATGTAGCTTGCATTTTACATTTGATGGCTGCTTTAAACTTCATGTAATGACATCTTTTGACTCAAGAATGTAAAGCCTTCTTTTTGATAGTGTGAATACTGTCTTTACAGGGGGAAAGAGCAGCATCTGGCACATAGTAGATACTCAATAAATATGTGAATAATTTGAATGAAAGAAAGAATAACAAACAACTTTTGGAAGAAATAAATATATTGCTGTTTTGCATCAGAATAAAACCAATCTTTCAAACAAAAAATTATTTTCAAGTATTTTTTCACAAGGCCTCCCCTTCATTGGGATACTTGTTTAAAAAATATATTGTTAGGTGTCTTGTAATTAGCTAGGCCTAGTCTAATAGTCTGGTCTCCATTTGGAATGCTCCATGGCTATGAAGTCCAGACTTCACGTGACTCAGGGATTTTCAGCATGAGTAGACACATTGCCAAGGTGGTCTTGTGAGTTTCTACAGTCTCATGTTACATATAGTACTATTTAAATTGACTAAGTTAGTTTTTACATTTTGGAGCGAATTGTTTTTGCCTAAAATTATTTTCTGTTTGGAGGTATGTGTGATTTTTTTTTTCTTTTTTCTTTCTTTCTTTTTTTTTTTTATTTTTTGCGATGGAGTTTTGCTCTTGTTGCCCAGGCTGGAGTGCAATGGCATGATCTCGGCTCACCTCAACCTCCGCCTCCTGGGTTCAAGCGATTCTCCGGCCTCAGCCTCCCGAGTAGCTGGGATTACAGACATGCACCACCACATCTGGCTAATTTTTTTTTTTTTTATTTTTAATAGAGTCGGGGTTTCTCTATGTTGGTCAGGCTGGTCTCAAACTCCTGACCTCAGGTGATCCACCCACCTCGGTCTCCCAAAGTGATGGGATTATAGGCGTGAGCCACCGAGCCTGGCCAACGTCTCACTCTGATGCCCGGGGCCAAGTGCAGTGGCAAAGTGCTGGGATTATAAACAAAAGCCACCAGGCCTGGCTTGTTTTCTGTTTTACGTCATTGTTCTTTGTGTTAACTTCAAGGTACTGTTCCAAAATATTAATCCCCTTTTTCTACAACCGTTGGAAATGCTTGCTTTATGCAGATATAGCCCAAGTCTGGGGAGTCCGCATTACCCCAGTGTTGAAAATGAAACATCTCCTTTTTACGAAAAGGACTGTTTTTGCATGAAATACCCATATTATTTAATTAAATCAGCACTTCCTCTTGACCATGGCGTTGTCAAGTTAACGCATAGGCAAGTTCGTGGATCTCAATAGTTGTTTGCAACAAACATGCATTTGGTACTCAGTCTATCTAGTTCCAGGCTGGAGAGCATAGGCTGTTTAAAAAAAAAAAAAAAAAGGCCAGGCGCGGTAGCTCAGCCTGTAATCCCAGCACTTTGGGAAGCTGAGGCGGGCAGTCATGAGGTCAGGAGATGGAGACCATCCTGGCTAACACAGTGAAACCCAGTCTCTAGTAAAAATACAAAAAAATTAGCCAGGTGTGGTGGTATGCACCTGTAGTCCCAGCCACTCAGGAGGCTGAGGAAGGAGAATCCCTTGAACCCAGGAAGTGGAGGTTGCAGTGAGGCAAGATCGTGCCACTGCACTCCAGCCTGGGTGACAGAGAGAGACTCCATCTCAAAAAAAAAAAAAAAAAAGCATAAACATCGTGTCAGTATATAGATATCTTGATTTAATTAGAGTGCTAAGTTTATTTACATAGACTGTACAATATAACTGTCGCAATATTCTCATCTATGTAATGACGACTTATAACTATAATCCATTTTAATTTCTATAAATCATGTACTTCTAAAATTAGACAGTGGAGGACTGAAGCTGTCCTCCTAGCCCTCATGCCACTTTAATACCGCAGGGTATTCCTCTGACTTCTGCCAGTCACAGAGCTTGAGATAAATGAGTGCTTTTGCTTGTTTGTGATTTGCATTGTACAGCATGTTTATGATTCCATTTGTGTGTTTGTCAGAAACATTGCTTTGGGCCAAGATTAATAGTGATTTATTTGTTTCGTAAGGGGCTGCAGTCTTGCAGTGATATCTGGAGTACTCTATGGATCTACATTTGTGCCAATCATCTATATCAAGGACCACAGCAAAAGAAATGAGAGTATATATGCAGGGGCAAGCCAATATGGTGAGAATAAAAAGTCATCTTACTTTGTTAATATCTGTTTTTTATGCATATAAGAAGAATTGTGATGATAGTAAATATTATGTGTCAATTCGATCTTTCTTTTTGATTGTAAGTGGTGAATTAGGAAGACAGTGAAGACCGAAAATAATAAAGGATTATTTGCACATGACCTTTAACATACAAATGCAACCAACTTCAGTCAGAGTCACTTCAGCTACTTGGATCTTAAAACATGGTTTCTGACTTTCTAGTAAGATTTGGAAATTTTTTTCCAGTTAGATGATCTTTGGGAAAAATATGTATACTTCTGTTCTTTTAAAAAGGCTAAAGTGTAATACATAATACTTTAAAATCTGGTAAAGGTCAAAGTATAGCCTATTTGGTCAGAGGATATTATTTTTCTAGCACAGAGTTGTGCACTGGAAGGCCCAAGGTAATGCTTCCTGTTAATATCTCAGTTTCCGTTGATAGAATTAACCTCCTAGGAGTAAACACAACACTATATGCAATAGCATTGTACAGGTTCAAAAGGAGATGAAAGAGTGTTTACTTTGGGGATCCTCTAATTACGCTGAAGCATGTCTTATACCCATGAATGATAAGAGAGCAAGATCATTCATAAAATACAGCTCTAAGTCAGATGGCGCAGAAAATTAGTGTGACCTGTATTCCGATAAAGGAGAATTTGGAGGGCAAAAGACATGAGGGAAAGATTGACAAAGAAGTTGACATCTGAGCTCAACTGTAACAGAACAGATAGACTAAGTAGATGCCATTGTTTGCATCGTTCTTTTTATAGTTAGCCCCATGTATATTACTCAAACCTTTTATTGGCTTCTGTCTTTTTTTAGTTAAAATTTTATACAAATACTTTTTTGCATTTTTACAAAAAGATAAAAACTAATAAAAATAGAATAACACAGGATAAATTAAAACAAAGAAAAACAAGAGTGGGATATAAAAGGAACCAGAAACGAGTCTAAAAACTTTGTACTACATTGGTATACTTGCTAGAGAGGAGCCTAAATTTGGCTCTTAGAGTCCTTGTAGGCACAAGGGAAGTCAGATCAGTCTCATGATTCAATGAGCACAAGATAAAAACAACTAATTGTTCGGGAGCACAGATGTTCTTGGTACAGGGACATAATAAACAATGTCCTCAACAATCTCTACACAAAGAGAACAATGCCTTCTTAGGGATCTTGCTTGTGACAACTCTAAATGTAATGTGATGGGAACACTTTATTCTGGTTTATTCAAAAATAATTAGTGGGGGGCGTTATTTTTCGTTTCATTTATTTAACAACACATATGTAGTATATGCTCTGTCTTAAGTATTTTACAAATACCCAGTTAATCTTCATAGCAAGTAATAACATTATTATCTTTGTTTTATAATTGGGAAAATTAACATGCGATGATTTGCCCAAGTCCCAAATTTAGTGAGTACTGGAATGAGGATTTGCACCCAAGTGGTCCATGCTTTTAAATTGCTCTATTTTCCTTTCTTTTGTGGTGGTTCATAAACAGATGTATTGCCCTTACATGATCCAGAGATAGGATATAAGACTTAGAGCAATAGACAAACTCTCTGTCCATTAAGCTTTTCTCCCTAAACATGGCCACTCATCTTTGTCAAAATTTTAGGGAACAGAAACTTTGAGTCCAACCTGGCTTTCCCAGCCAAGAACCCGTAGTGCACCCATCTGTGTGGCCACAGTACCATCTGCTTAAACAGTCAGTGGAGCTGGGATTTTGCTGAGATTGAGCCACCATCGTGGGATATTAACTCCCCCATGTACTTAGGTTTATAATCAACAATTGCATAAAGCCTTCTCTGGATTAACTTCCTGAATAGCTTTCTGTATAGCTGTCATCTGCAACAGAGATGCTGATCTCCAGACTGATCAATGAATCATATAAAATTAGCACCCCTTAATTTTTTTCACCCACATCCCCATTGTAGTCAACCTGAAGATTTGCTATAATGGCTATTGTTATGAGTAAAATTAAGCCTGAATGCCTATTCTTAAAAATGAGGTATTAACATCACGGTTACATAATTCATTGTTTCTTACTTAGCTTTACCACATTATCCTAAAAACTAGCCTTTAGTTTTGATTATAGTAACTAATCTAATACTTAATGTATCCATATTTTAAATGTATTAATTAAAATTCTATATGAACACCATGTAAAAAACTAGGATGATTAAATATAATTAATGGTTTCTTTACTTTTAAGGTTAATTTTGGTGAGTTTATTTTGAGAAAGCTAAATATATCTGGAATGATTGGAATGGTGTTTGAGAGTTTTTAATCTCTCTTTTCAGATTTAGACTATGTTTTTGCACACTTCAGTGGCATCTTTCTTACAAGTACTGTCTACTTTCTGGCCTACTGCATAGCCATGAAAAGCAGTCCTAAACTATATCCTGAAGCAGTCCTTCCAGGTAAGAATATGTACTACAGAAGATCTTCTTACTATATGAAAGTATCATCTACGACTCATTTAGTTTGAATAACTTTCTTCTAGAAACCAAGCCTCTGTGTGTCTGTGGGTGTGTGTGTGTGTGTGTGTGTGTGTGTGTGTGTTCATTCCCCCTAATTACTTTGGCCCAGTTCACCACTAAATATGAAGTATTTTAAAGCCGTGAAACTGAATATGAAATATTGGCCATTATTACAGAACAATAAATCTATTAAGATCGTTTCCTGTGCCAAACATTCTTCTGTATTGATCATCAGTCTTTACTATTTCTTTTTCACTATCTAAAGGTTCATATATCAACAAATAGGAATATGCGGTAACTTGTGAAAACAAGTGTCTACAAAATGTAAGAAGAGAGTGTGATGACTTCAAAAAAGACGCATGTTCAACATACATGCTTTTGGACTTAATTCATTAGGCCTTGATTGTTTCTGTTTTTTTTTTTTTAATCTCATTTAGGAGTTTCTTATAATTCAGTTTGGAATATAGGTCCACAAGTAAAACTTTTTAAAGACAAAAATAAGGCATAAGTGAGAGTCTCATTCTAAATGCCTAACAGACTCATGCTAAAGAATGCCACCATATAGAAAACGCTAGAAGACTTACCGAATGCCTCGCTAAAGTACTGTGAAAGTTTTAGCTGGTATTTTTACTTAAATCCCACAGATTTTTTTTTCTCAGCAGTACCATCACTCTGATCCACTTTATTAATATTTATGGTTTACAGTAAATGGTATTTACAGGGAATATTCATGTTCAGTTTGTCGCCTAGGCCCCTCTTCACCACCCAATCTCTTCCTCTTTTACTATTATGGGTACTTTAATGCCGATAATGTGAAAGCATTTATCATTCTACCCATAGCAGCCAAGAGTAGGGAAATTACCTGGTTCTAAAATAACAATAAAACACAGCTCAAAAATCTGTATTGGCCAGCAACATTGATCGGACTGCATTTGTGTGTGCACCTTGGTATTCCTGTTGTAGCTAAAGTTTGAGTGCTTCAACAGAGGAACACGGTCTGCAAATGTGTGTTGTCTTTGTATTTCAGGATTCCTCTCAGGGGTACTTTGGGCAATAGCTACCTGCTGTTGGTTCATAGCGAATCACTCTCTGAGTGCTGTGGTCAGTTTTCCTATAATCACTGCTGTAAGTAGCTGAACTGTTTTTCCAAATTTTCATTTTATAAACGTCAATCCAGTTTTTCTGAAGCACTCCTAGGGCATCGCTAAAGGCTGTGATGGAGTTTGATTTTTTAGGAGTAAAATTAAATGGACTCAGATAGATAAACTGACCCTCTTGAATCTTCATGTGCTTGATTGCTAAGGAACATTTCTCACCTCATTTTAGCAGGGCTATGAATCCTTAATTTCTAATATCCTTGCAGTTTTTGTTTGATTAGTTTATCTGATGTCATTTTAGAGACACTGAAATTTGCTATTTATAACTATTGATCTCTACTTATATAAAAGTCTATAAATATGAAAAATGATTTTATGTGTATTACCTTATCAATGTCATGACCATTTTGTGAGACTGAAAGTACTTCAGACACCTCTTCTTATGGTAGTTCACTGTTTTTAAGCAAAACTTTCTGAAAGTGCTAAAGCAAGGTGTTGTCTCTGGGTGATATCACTATGTACGTAATACAATTTGCTTCATCCAATTTTTTAGGTGCTAATGATGTAAAACATAGATAATAGCAAAACTTTTTTTTACATAGGCAAAATAAGTATTCAGAAGATTATTCCCATTTTGAAGATAAGAAAATTGAGGCAATAGCTAAGAACATGATCTGAAGTCTCATAGCTAAGAAAAAGCTGAAGACTTTTAAGTACGGGGTTTTCAGTACACAGTGCTACTTTCTGCCATCGTAATGGGATCTTATTGAGAAGTTGTTTTAGGTTCACTGTGGTACTAGGACTGATATATACATACAGGAACTGCTTTCATGGTGGGCTGTTAGGTGTGCCCTAGATATTGTAGATTGCTAACCAGGATTCAGCTGCATCCCCTGCTTCCAAAATCATCATCACTAACAAACTTTATCGAAAACATTTTAGTATTTGCATACCTGTGTAAAGACAGAAAACTGATTTTTTAGAAACACTGTCTAGTCTATAAACCACTGATATAATTTGATATAAATTCTGGGCACCAAACAGTATATTTTGACAGTTCTATTCTGTAAAATAGTTAGCTTTCAAATACAACTAAATTCAAATAATAAAGAGCTTTTTAAAAAATTTACAGAAGCCACATTTTAACATTCTTAATCCTGATGAGGGAAAATCTAGCAAGTTATGAAGAACTTCTTTAGGTCTAAAGTCTTCATAATAGAAATGGCAAAGGACCCAAATTCTCTTCAACAAGGGATTTGTTCTTACATATTTCAAGGACACTTAATGTTAGAAGTGACAGGCAGTGGGTATAAAGCTTACCTGTTAAATGCATAAAAGCAAATTTGCAGAGAAAAGTATACAGGATGATATGTCCTGTGGCTATAGATGCAAATGTTATTTGACAATATGAAATCCCTTATATAGATAAGGGGGAATAATATTTATTTAAATAGAACAAGCCACTAACTTACATCAAATGTAAATTTTTATCTTTATCATATGATAGTGATATTTTTCTTTTACTCAGATTATATTCTTGAGCAGGTGTGCATTCTCCAAAAAAGGTTTTGAGGCAATTTTTTCTATAACACACAGATACAATCAAGTTACACAGACAAAGAGAAATACAAACAGAAATAAAAAATCAAAACAGTGGCAAAGACGAGAAAGGGAGCAAATAGTTGCTGTGATTAAACATTAAAACATTAAACTTTGCTTAGTGATTTCAAAAGGATAGTGCAATGGGATAGGTAATTCTTACTATTAGCAGCATATTATTTCCTCAGAACGGACCAATTTTTTTTTGCATTGAATTTTTAATAGAATTTATCCTATGGGACCTCTTAAATGGAACACTGAAAAACAAACAATATCCTTTACAAAATTTTCTAGTAGCAGAGTTGGTTTTGCTACCATCATTTCTTGTTTTGGGTTGGAATAAAGATTGAGGACAAAATGAAAGCCTGATTCAGAGGGAGTAAACCCCTGAGGTAGGGGGTTGTGGGCAGAGAGAGGATCAGTGAGAATGGTCACTGTGGCTTTTGACAACCTGCCCATCAAAGAGATTGCCCCTGAAAAACTGTAATGTAAGCAGAGCCTTCTCACTCACCAGGTGTAACTTTCTTACCTGGCGCATGTGGTGCTTGTTATCTGGGAAGGACAGGTATTTGGAGTTGGTGAGGGCGGAGGTCCATATTGCTCCTAGGCCCTTGTTTGGTTTTACTTTAGTCACTTTATCCGAGGACAACCATATCTACACACAGAAAAGATTCAGTTCCTACCCTCAACAATCGTATTAATTAATTAAGAATGTAAGATTGTTGAGGGTAGGAACTGAATCTTTTCTGTGTGTAGATACATATATAATATTTATAATAATTAATTATTTATTTAAATAAATTTATATTTAAATTTATAATATAAATAAATTTATATATTAAATAAATTATTATAAAAATAATTATGATAAATAATGAATTATATATTATATAATATAACATTCTTACAATTTTACATTCTTAATTATAACATATATTGTATATAATAATTATATACAATATATAATATATATTATAGAATATATATATTCTATATATATAGAATATATATAGAGAATGTAAGATTGTGTATATAATATACATAAGATGACATATATAATTTTTATATATATATATATATATTTTGGTAGGGCTAGATTTTTGAAACTTTTGGAAACTTTTGTTTTTTTTGAGATGGAGTTTTGCTCCTGTTGCCCAGGCTGCAGTGCAATGGAGCAACCTTGCCTCACTGCAACCTCCACCTCCTGGGTTCAAGCGATTCTCCTGCCACAGCCTCCCGAGTAGCTGGGATTACAGGCATGCACCACCACGGCCAGCTAATTTTGTATTTTTAGTAGAGACGGGGTTTCTCCATGTTGGTCAGGGTGTTCTCAAACTCCTGACCTCAGGCGATCTGCCTGCTTTGGCCTCACTAAGTGCTGGGATTACAGGCATGAGCCGCAATGCTCAGCCCAATTTCTTAAAATTTTTAAATGTAAAATGTCAAACAAACCTATCACCAACCTTCAAAAATTATGAATATGGTCAACCAATTTTATCGGAATACATTTTTAATATCCCAGCAGTGCTGTTCTTCCCAGGTATACCTATTCCCATCGTTATATACCCAGTGGTAACTAGCCTGAGTTCTTTGAAAGTAATGTCCATTTTGTTTATTGGCAAATAAAAAGCCAAAAGAAAAAAAGCCATTAAAAAGAAAAAAGCCATTAAAAAGCCAAAAGACAGAAAGAGAAAGAAAGAAAGAAAGAAAGAAAGAAAGAAAGAAAGAAAGAAAGAAGAAAAAGAGTCACCTAGTAAACGCTGTTACCTCTGCTCCAAGTCTTCCTTGATAATTCTAAACTGAATCAGCTTATCTCAAGATAGGTGCAAGTTCACTTTGTTTGCAAAAGCCAATTTACACCTAATTTGCATTAGTTTACTAAAGGAAAATATACAGTCCAAATTACCAAAACTGTTGTATCTCCTATTAAGATGCCCTTCCTATGTGGCTTTCCTTGGCCTAAATCAAAGAGTCAGTAAATACTTTGACGTATGCTTGCATTATTTTTAGCAAAGCACCCCTCTTATAACTACTACTGCTCACAATAATGCTTAGGCCATGCCTAAACTCATATTTAGAAAACAATCAGAAAAGAATCTTCAAAGGTCAATGATACCTTGTGGTATTGTCCTGTACCATGTTCTCTGAAGGGAGATGGATTTTCAGATTAAAAATTCTTGAGCCTACCATTAGTATGATATCCTCTGTTCTACTGTTTCCTCCCATTCTGTAGAAAGTCAGTGTGGGGTTGCTTAAAAGACCCATATACTTCTTGTTTGATTTGGATTTTGAGGCTTAGGAACTTACATCATTGACAAAAGGCAGTTCTTTGACCTATTTCTCTGGCTTTTTTGATGTTGACTTTCCAGATACTGATAAACAGAGAGGAGTGTATTTTTTCGCTTCACTTACATACCAGGAGTGGAATCAAACTTTGTTGACTCAGTCTTTTAGACAGTTGGAGTAATGGTGGGGGAAAAACATTTTGGAATCTATTTGAAACTCTTCCAGACTTTTTTGGGGGTTGAAGAGCAATGATAAAAATGCTGATACAATACACCTTCTCTGCAAAGACCACAATTAACCCAAATTCTGATTTTCTTCCTTCTCAGCTAAACCAAACTTGAATGTCTTAAAGTTCATAAATTGCAGAATCATTCCTTTTCTTCACCTATTTCTTCTCATTTCCTCTGTCCTATATTATTTCTTTTTTTTTTTTTTTTTTTTTTTTGAGATGGAGTTTCGCTCTTGTTACCCAGGCTGGAGTGCAATGGCGCGATCTCGGCTCACCGCAACCTCCGCCTCCTGGGTTCAAGCAATTCTCCTGCCTCAGACTCCTGAGTAGCTGGGATCACAGGCACGTGCCACCATGCCCAGCTCATTTTTTGTTTTTTTTTTTTTTTTTAGTAGAGACGGGTTTCACCATGTTGACCAGGATGGTCTCGATCTCTCTACCTCGTGATCCACCCACCTTGGCCTCCCAAAGTGCTGGGGTTACAGGCTTGAGCCACTGCGCCCGGCCCCTATTTCATTCTTTTCTTTGTCTCCTGTCCAGAAACATCTGTTGTTTTCCCTTACGTGTTTATTTTAATCTTCCCATAAACCTTCTTTTTTAGCAATCATTGGTGTTTAATGCTAGCCACACTTGATTGCTCTGCAGTAATATCAAAGTATTTTTTTGAAGCATGAGCTATTTCCACATGTACATTATTTGTTAAGCCAAAAAAAAAATGCCAAAATTTCCTCAGTTATGAGATTATCTCATGCCAAAGAAAGTTAGAAGCTTGTGCACACTTTTCTTACTGATCCCGTTTCTAGTTATCCTAAGGAACTAGGCCAATGGAAATAATAAGCTATGTGCTTATAAAAATAATTTATGATAAATATATTAAAGAAAAATATTATGTGGCACAAAATATCATAGCATCGTCAAAATAATAAAAATGAAGACCATGAAGAAAAGAAAATGAAAAAAGGTCTTCATCTTTTACTTAGTATCACTTAATGTTTAGCTTAGTATGGAGTTAGGGTTGATATTATGGGTAGTTTTCCCTGGAAATATTTTTATATTATTTCCTACTTACTATATTTATATAGAATCTAGTCGTGAGTAAATATCCAATTTAATTAAAGTTTACATTTTTGTTTAAGGTTTACATTTTTGTTTAAGTAAATAACTCAATTTAATTAAAGTTTACATTTTTGTTTAAGGGTCCAGGATTTATAGCTGCAATGTGGGGTGTCTTCATGTTTAAGGAAATAAAGGTAAGTACAAGAAAGGGTAAACTTAGAAAATGGGAATGGGGTAGGCCGGGCACGGTGGCTCACACCTGTAATCCCACACTTTGGGAGGCTGAGGTGGATCATGAGATCAGGAGTTCAAGACCAGCCTGGCCAAGATAGTGAACCCCGCCTCTACCAACCTCTACCAAAAATACAAAAAATTAGCTGGGCGTGGTGGCTGGCATCTATAATCCCAGCTACACAGGAGGCTGAGGCAGAGAATTGCTTGAACCCGGAAGGTGGAAGCTGCAGTGAGCCAAGCCACTGCACTCCAGCCTGGGTGACAGAGCAAGACTGCATCTCAAAAAAAAGAGAAAGAAAACGGAAACGAGCCCAGGTGAGTATTTAATATTATGTTTGCATTACTTTCTGAAAACTGCCTGTGGCGCCTAGGTTCAGGGCAAACAACCTAGGAATGGATTTGACAGATAAAATGTTCAGAATGTGATAATACCTAATTAGAAAAGAAATTACTAGAGCTATGATCATTATAATGTAACATCGTGTCTCTCTCCACCCCCTCTCCAGTGCAAAAATGCTGTCATTGACTTAAGTTTCCCTGAAGTGATTCTAGTTCAATAACCCAATGAAATATGAAAGAGGGAAATCTGTTGGAAAGAGGAAAATTTGTTTAAAATATGGTAGATAGACAAGGTGAATTTTTTTTTATCCTACAGGTTAAAACACCCCCTGCGGTAAATGGGCTTTGGGAATAGATGTTTGTATCGGTTCCTGTGTCTCCCAAAGGCCTCCATGTCAAACCAGCAATTCTGTAGGAAAACAGCATGGTAACAGGCGGCCATTGCCATGTCCTTTTCAAATGTAAATGATGGGAATTTAAAATTGCATTCATCAAATAGTTCTAGTAAGTGTGTGTGTGTGTGTGTGTGTGTGTGTGTGTGCGTGTGTGTGTGTGCGTGTGTGTGTGTGTGTGTTTTCTTTAAAAATCACTTTGCCAGGCGTGATGGCCTGCATCTATAGTCCCAGCTACTCAGAAGTCTGAGGCAGGAGCATCACTTGAGGCCAGGAATTTGAAGACAGCCTGGGCAATAACAACAACTAAAGGCGTAGTCTCAAGAACCCAACTGGGTTCAAATCCTGACTCTGTCACAAACTAGCTGTGTGACCTTGGTTAAGTTTCTTAACCTCTCTGTGCATACAGTCCTTATCTGAAACTGGGGATAACCTACCAAGAGAGCTGTAAGAATATGAGTAAAGTGCTAAGAACAGTACTAAGAATGCAATAAATGCTCAGTTAATTTTGGGGATAAGTGTCATATAACCTAGCCCAAACTGTAGATAGAAAAATAGAACAGGTTCGGAGTAGTGGCTCACACCTATAATCCCAGCACTTTGGGAAGCCAGTGAGGTAGGATTGCTTGAGCCCAGGAGTTCGAGACCAGCCTAGGCAACATAGTGAGACCCCTATCTTCTCTACAAAAACAATTTAAAAATTAGCCAGGTGTGGTGGTGTACACTTGTAGTCACAGCCACTCAGGAGGTTGAGGAAGGAGGGTTGCTTGGGTTCAGGAGGTTAAGGTTACAGCAAGCCATGATCATACTACTGCGCTTGAAATCCTGTCTCTTCAAAAACAGAAAAGAAAGAAAGAATAAGAAAACTCACAAAATCGGAGAATTTCTTCCCTTTCAGCCACGCTAAAGGTCACATCCACCTGTAGCCCAGCAACGCAGGAGGATCACTTGAAACTAGGAGTTCAAGACTAGCCTGGGCAACAGTTATGATTAAAAGACTTAAAAATTTTAATCTTTTTTAAAAAATTGCTTTAGAACTTTTCCCAGTTACCTTTACTCGCAGAAAAAGTCTTCAGTTGAGGAATATATGCAAATTCCCTTTTCCAATAATTTTTATTAAAGACAATGTTGATCCAAAGACCCTCCCCGCTGTCAAGGCATTATAAACTTGTAATATGCAGTTGTAGTAGCAGATAATTCCTGGCTCTAAGAAGATTGAGGTTGCTCATCCCTGAGAGCCGTAAAGTGAATGAGCTTCTACCTGATCTTTAAAATGAGTATTTAATTTTAGATTTAAAACATCATTTCAATTATAAACAAAATATTTTGATTTAAAAATCATTATTTAATAATACAAGATTCTCAGATTTTAAAAATCTAATATATTTGTTTCAAAAATACGTGGACTATGATCAGAATTTTAATTTATTTAAATACACAAGAACAACTTGAAACATGTATAACCCTGTAAGTTACTTTCATGAAGGATTCTCATTTATTGTAGTTAGAGTTCCTTTCTATAAAAGGTAACTCTGTGCCAAAAATATACTGTAAATCTCTCTGCACATATTTCATCTACCTCACAAATGATGATTTATTTATATTGAAGAATTGGTTATTATCTCAAGTAAGATGCTGAAGCCTTAGAAAATCACAAATTAGTGATCATAGTTTATTAGTCATTATGGGTATAAAGAAGCATAAACTAAGTATAGATTTATATTAAAGCATTTGAAAATTATTTTGGTCATGACTACAGTAATAATACTGAATTGAAAATCCTTTTAACTACATATAAGAAACCTGTTCAAAGAGAGAATCCCTAACCAAAAACCCTAGTATTAATTCTTTAGAGTTCTTTATTTAAAGGGGTACTGAAAAACAGTAAGGAATGTTTTGTTTTATTTTGTTTTTGGTAAAGACATATTTAAAAAGATGGCTCAGACCAAACAGAAAAGTAACTTTTAAGATTAATATACTATGACCCCATAGGGTTTAATTCAGGAACGCAAGGATCATTCATAAAATGTAAATTAATTAATCTCATTTACTCTACCATGTGAAATAGGAAAAGGATGTGATAATACTATACAAACCTCTTAGTAAGCTAGAAATAAAAGGAAGCTTCAGTGGCACAGCATGTCTGTCAAAACAAAATAGCAATTATATACCTTAATTTCATGAAACCTTAGAGTTCTCTTTACATTAGAAGTCAAAGATTTCTCCATACTATTATTCAATATTTTCTGTAGATCTAGCTAGTTTGGAAAGACAAGAACAAGAAATGAAGTGAATAAATATAGGAAAAGAAATGAGAAAATTTTCATTTGCAGATTACATTTTTAAAAATGTAAGCATCGTGATTTCAATTTATTGGTGACAAAAATTATAAATTAAAGTAAAAATTTAAAAGAATCAGCTGAAAAAATTAAGATCCAATAAGATCATTTGGTAAGGCTTGAGATATAAAAGAAATAGAAAATCAGTTGCCTTCTAATATGTCACTAACAACCAGTTAAAAAGAGGAAAATAAATGCTATTAATAATAACCACAAAAATTACATACATCTAAGAAAAGTGTTAACAATCGTGCGGGTAGTGGGCTTGGAGAAGTTCCGAGGCGGCGGTGGCGCCGGCGAGGCGAAGGATAGCGGAAGCGGGCCCTGGGCTTGTCGCTCACCATGCCGACGGTAGAGGAGCTTTACCGCAACTATGGCATCCTGGCCGATGCCACGGAGCAAGTGGGTCAGCATAAAGATGCCTACCAAGTGATATTGGATGGTGTGAAAGGTGGTACTAAGGAGAAACGATTAGCAGCTCAGTTTATTCCAAAATTCTTTCAGCGTTTTCCAGAATTGGCTGATTCTGCTATCAATGCACAGTTAGACCTCTGTGAAGATGAAGATGTATCTATTCGACGTCAAGCAATTAAAGAACTGCCTCAATTTGCCACTGGAGAAAATCTTCCTCGAGTGGCAGATACACTAACACAACTCTTACAGACAGATGACTCTGCAGAATTTAACCTAGTGAACAATGCCCTGTTAAGTATATTTAAAATGGATGCAAAAGGGACTTTAGGTGGATTGTTCAGCCAAATACTTCAAGGAGAGGACATTGTTAGGGAACGAGCAATTAAATTTCTTTCTACAAAACTTAAGACTTTACCAGATGAAGTCTTAACAAAGGAAGTGGAAGAGCTTATACTAACTGAATCCAAAAAGGTCCTAGAAGATGTGACTGGTGAAGAATTTGTTCTATTCATGAAGATACTGTCTGGGTTAAAAAGCTTACAGACAGTGAGTGGAAGACAGCAACTTGTAGAGTTGGTGGCTGAACAGGCTGACCTAGAACAAACCTTCAATCCCTCGGATCCTGACTGTGTGGACAGGCTCTTACAGTGCACTTGGCAGGCAGTACCCCTCTTCTCTAAAAATGTCCATTCCACGAGGTTTGTGATGTATTTCTGTGAGCAGGTTCTTCCTAACCTCAGTACCTTGACTACCCCAGTTGAAGGTCTCGATATACAGTTGGAGGTATTGAAATTGTTGGCAGAGATGAGTTCATTTTGTGGTGACATGGAAAAACTAGAAACAAATTTAAGGAAACTATTTGATAAGTTATTGGAATACATGCCCCTCCCTCCAGAAGAAGCAGAAAATGGAGAGAATGCTGGTAATGAAGAACCCAAGCTACAGTTCAGTTATGTGGAATGTTTGCTGTACAGTTTTCACCAGTTGGGCCGAAAACTTCCAGATTTCTTAACAGCCAAACTGAATGCAGAAAAACTCAAAGATTTCAAAATCAGGCTGCAGTACTTTGCACGGGGCCTGCAAGTTTATATCAGACAACTTCGTTTAGCTCTCCAGGGTAAAACCGGTGAGGCCTTAAAAACAGAAGAGAACAAGATTAAAGTTGTTGCATTGAAAATAACAAACAATATCAATGTTTTAATTAAGGATCTCTTCCACATTCCTCCTTCTTATAAGAGCACAGTAACACTATCCTGGAAACCTGTACAAAAGGTTGAGATTGGGCAGAAGAGAGCCAGTGAAGATACAACTTCAGGTTCACCACCCAAGAAGTCTTCAGCAGGACCAAAAAGAGATGCCAGGCAGATTTATAATCCTCCCAGTGGGAAATACAGCAGCAATCTGAGCAGCTTTAATTATGAGCAGAGAGGAGCCTTCAGGGGAAGTAGAGGTGGCCGAGGTTGGGGCACACGAGGAAATCGTAGTCGGGGAAGACTCTACTGAATAAGACGTCAGCATTCTTCAGCATTGTCATGAGCTTAATATACTTAATTTCTACTACTTATTGGATTGCCGGGGATGTCCCATTAAACAGACTGCTGCCTTCAGCTAAAAACTTAATGTTCTTTATACCTTTGTATGTATGATCTACTTTTGTAACAGACCATGGTGGTGTCCAAGGTAAAACCACAGTGATATTTTTGGATGCTTTGTCTGCAATCTTGAGTTGTTTTTGCAGTATCATTATTCAGACTTCAAATTGTGAATCTTTTAAACATCTTGATAATTTGTTGAGAGCTATTCATTCTAAAATGTAGTGAAATTCAGTCTAGTTCTGCTGATAAAGGTCATCAGTTTTGAAAGGTTACTGATTTTCCTCTTCCCTCTTAGTTTTTTGCCCAATATATGGAAAAAGAGTAGTGGTCAATCTTAACATTTTGTTTTCATTGTTTAATAAAGCTGCTAGGCAGTGGTGCAGCATTCCTACCTAGTGTCATAAAAGCAAAATACTTATATAGCTTTCTTAAAAAGTAGGAATGACATTACATTTTTAGAAGAAAGTAAGTTGCTTTGCACTGCTTACTTAACTCTTTTCCATATATTGTGATACAAACTTCTGAATATGGAATCTTACTATTTGAGTAGAAATGTGTATGTATAATATACATACATGCATAAGCATATGTGTGTGTGTGTGTATATATATATATATATATATGCATGCTGTGAAACTTGACTACACAATATAAATCACTTTTTTAAATTCCAGGAACGGGTAGTCTGACACAGTGATTATCCTTTTGAGGCTGAATCCGTTATTAACTTGTTATTTAGGTTTTTACTCCCAGTAGCAAGGGATTCTAAGTCAGTTGCACTTACATGATTATTGTTATTTAAAACTAAAAATAAAGGCTGCATTTTCAAAGATAAATTGGAGATTGCTCTGGTGAAATACAGCCAAAATACTGAATCTGATGTACATAGAGGTTTCTACAAGGAAGAGATAGTATAATTTAGAATTTGGAGATTTAATAACCAGGGCTACCCAGAAAAAGTGACTTGATAAAACATGGTACCAATAAGTAAGGGATGCTCTCTCAGTTTGCTTTTGCCACTTTCAACATTTTAACTTCTCAGGTTATTAATCAAAATTATTGTATAAGTTAGCCAGTAGAATTTTTAGGTTAAAACAACAGATGGGGAGTTTGTGGAGTGTTAGTGTCATAGGCATTTTTAGTAGCATAGACCTTTTGTTCTACATTTGAATGTTGCGTATATTTTTGTTTCACAGTTAATCTTTCCGTCCCAGGTTTGCTATTCAAATCAAATGCCTGAATGACATTTTTAGTAGTCTGGTGTATTTTTTTGAGGAATAGTTTGTGATTGCAATGCAGGTGTCTTCATTACCATTACCTCTACACTGCAGAAGAAGCAAAACTCCTTTGTTAGAATTACTGCACATGTGTATGGGGAAAATAGTTCTGAAAGGCTAGAATGATACAAGTGAGGAAAAGTTGGTCAGCTTGGCTATGGAGTGGTGGCAATAATCTCTAAACATTCCAAAAGACTATGAGCTGAACCTAAACTCCCTTGGAATCTGAACAGACAAAGGAATATAAAATTGCCGTTTGAAAACTTGACCAGTTAATCTGGACCTCAGAGATAGATCACCCAGTGGCCCAAAGCCATTTCAAGTACAGAAATTGTATTGAGACTACAGCAAAATAAATTTGAACATTACATATAATTTTACCACTTATCTTCTTTATAAGCATATTTGTAAACTCAAAGCTGAACAGAAGTGACTTTACTTTCTCAAGTTTGATACTGAGTTGACTATTCCCTTATCCCTCACTCTTCCCTTTCCCTTTCCTAAGGCAATAGTGCACAACTTAGGTTATTTTTGCTTCCAAATTTAAATGAAAAACTTAATGCCGTGGATTTTTTTTTCTTTTGCAAGACACCTGTTTATCACCTTGTTTAAATGTAAATGTCCCCTTATGCTTTTGAAATAAATTTCTTTTTTTTCTTTTTTTTTTTTTTTTTTTTTTTGAGACGGAGTTTCGCTCTTGTTACCCAGGCTGGAGTGCAATGGCGCGATCTCGGCTCACCGCAACCTCCGCCTCCTGGGTTCAGGCAATTCTCCTGCCTCAGCCTCCTGAATAGCTTGGATTACAGGCATATGCCACCATGCCCAGCTACTTTTTTGTATTTTTAGTAGAGACGGGGTTTCACCATGTTGACCAGGATGGTCTCGATCTCTTGACCTTGTGATCCACCCGCCTCAGCCTCCCAAAGTGCTGGGATTACAGGCTTGAGCCACCGCGCCCGGTCTGAAATAAATTTCTTTTTGGAAAAAAAAAAAAAAAAAGAAAGAAAAGTGTTAACAAGTAATGTACTAGATTTTTTAAATACTGTATATTACTTTGCTACAAACATTTACTGGAGGACATAGGAGATCAGAACAAATGTGGGAGGCTGGCCACATTTCTGATGGAACACCTCACCGTTATGATTAGGCAGTTCACTCCAGTTGCCCTCAGTATAATTCCTGTAACATCCCAGTGAGGCTTTTTCTAGAATTTTTAGAGTAGGTTCTAAAGTTTGGCTAATTATTTATGTAAAAATAGGCAAAAAAAAATGGCAGCACATGTACCGTATTTCTGAAATGTGCAATTTAGATTAGCTAGGCCAATTTTCTTACAAAATAAGGATTTCTAAGCCTAAGAAAATGACTGCTTGCTCTTTTTCTATTTTAAAAAAGTGACTAAGATAAGATTAAAAGTATTAAAAGAAGAGAGAGGGCTAAGCTGAAAACAAAGGGTTGTTTGTTTTTTAAAAAAAACCCTGGGGCCAGGCATGGTGGCTTAGCTGTAGTCCCAGCCCTTTGGGAGGCTGAGGCAGCCAGATCACCTGAGCTCAGGAGTTCAAGACCAGCTGGGGCAACATGGCAAAACCCTGTCTCTACAAAAATATGAAAATTAACAGGCTCTGATGGTGTGTGCCTGTAGTCTCAGCTGTTTAGAAGGCTGAGGTGGGAAGATGGCTTGAACCTGGGAAGTGGAGATTGCAATAAACCAAGATTGCACACTGCACTCCAGCCTGGGTGACAGAGCTAGACTCTGTCTCAAAATAACTAAGTAAATAAATAAATAATCTTATACATCTGTGTACAAACAAAACTTAAAGGATGTCCAGTGGTACCTATTTAATGCAGACACCTAATTGCCTCTTGACAGCTGATTTAAAGAAAAAATTTAAATACTTATATCCCAATCTGTTTGGAAAAGCATCATGAATAAACACAAAAACCTAAATCTCATACGAATAATTTGTAAAGTATTTGTTTAGAAATAAGACAAAAACTCCTAAACTCTAAAGAAGAAAACAAAAGCAAAACTCTTTTCTGCAGGACTCATAGCCATTGTCATTTCTGTATCTTAAAGCAGTTCTTGAAGACACATATTTAAAAGTTTACAACCTACAGCTGCGAGGAGTAAGGCTGAGTGCCAAGCACCTTTTGTGTGAGGCCTTTAATGATTTCATTTAGTTTTAATGCCATCAGTGCATCAGTTAGATGTTTCCTTACTTCCGATACTCTTTGATATCTGTTACTCATTGGGAAGTTCATTTTAGATTATTACATCTTTAAGCTATATATAAATTATATTTTTACCAACACGCTTTAGTCAGCATGTCTACTGCAATGCCAACACAGGCACTTATTACCTCAACAATGTATCGGTCAGTAAGCTACTCTCTGATGAAGAATATGATGATCTATTATCTTAGTAGCTGCTTCAGAAATCCAAGTTAGAAAAACTTTCTGCTTTGGGAAGAATGTTAGCGTGCTCTCTCCAAGAGTTATCATCCACCTTTGATGAAGGAAAACTGCTGCTGTTGCCCAGCTATAATCAGTCTTTTTCTCTAGGAGACTCGGTATTTTTGGCAAATTCTTAGCATCAAAGGGGAAAACATTTTTTCATTCCCTGAGAACATTATTCTTCTGTCTATGTAGGTAATGAAATATTACTCAGTGATGTATTCATGTAATTAGATTGTAGAGAGCTTGTAATTGAAGACCCATTTTTAAATTTGAGTGATTGTATCAATTTCAAATTCACAATGTATATGTGAAAATCATTTTAGTGTATTCATTGTTTGAGCAAATATTTATGGACTACTTATTCTGCATTAGTATCAGTATCTAGGTGAGCACTGCAGTCTCAAAAACTAAGAAAAAGATGCAGGGAAATCCAAAGCCTACTGCCGTGTGTGTGTGTCTGTGTGTGTGTGTGTGTGTGTGTGTGTGTGTGTGTGTGTGTGTGTTTAAATAAGCCATTCTGCACCTGGCAAGTTTTGGGTAATTTTACTTGTAGAATTTGGGATTTGAGTGGCTTCTGTTAGTGCTGAGGGTCACACTGAATCAGACAATTCAACTGGCCCCAACCTAACTTACAAAGACCTGTCTCTGGTCATTGAACAGAGGCAAATTAATCCACTCTCTTTATTAAGTTGCAGAAAATGAATATATATATATATATATATAAAAAATATATATATATATAAAATTAACATATACATATTCCATTATATATTTATATAATTATTTTTTAAATTTTATATGTTTTCATAAAATTTAGTTAGCATAATTATTTAATTTTCTTAATTAATACATAACATGTTATTTATACGTAGGTATACATGACCATATGTATTTGTATATGTATATGTAATTGTATACAAAGTATGTATATTTATGTCATGTATACATAAGTATATAAGGATTAATCTTATAATAGTATGTTCTATGTTATATATACATAACATATCTGTTCTATATTAGTCAGCATTAATCGTAAGAACTAATAATACGAAAGAACCTTCCTTGACAGTTTTCACATTCCCTCCATCCTGGACTTTGTCTCTGTTCTGTTCAGATTTATTACACAAATTCACCTCTGATCTCTACATTTTCCCAGTAACCTGGAAACACAAGACTTTTAAGGAAATGTGAGGGAAGTAGGGAAAATGAAACCAGACAAAAGACTACACTTTGCAGTGAGAATTTCATTGTGGAGCCAGGAGAGCCGTGTGTTCCTATTGTCAACCTGCCTATCCTGCCCCAACCCTGTTTCCTGGGCGAGCCCAGTTAGAACTTCCCTTTCTGGGTTTCCCTCAAAGCTCACCTGGCTGCCAGGCAGCAAAGACAGAAGCACCCTCCACCCTCTGACCCCTTGCATCTATGTTGGGGGAAATGAGTCTCCCTAAGCCCACCCTTTGCATGGCCTGGCCGTAGGAACCCAAGTTTTGGTGCATATTCTCCACTGAGTCCTTGGGTGAGCATGAGGGAGATACTCTTGAATCCAGATTAGCCCTGAGGATGAATTAGCCTCTAACAGAGCCCAGGGTCCTGCTTGTATGAACCCGCTTCCCCCAACAAGTCAGTCAACTCTTGCCTCAGAGACACAGCATTCTATTCCCACTACCTTCCTTGAAGTTTTGCTCCAAATTTGGGTAGTTTGGGGCTATTAGTCTGTCAGACCTGAATGGCCAGAATTTGCACCAGAGAGGGAGGCTACCAGCCCTGTTCCTGCAGATAGGAAGCAGGCAGAATGCCAATTGCTTCCTAGAGCTGCCTCCTCTCCATTCTTTTTTTCTTTTTCCAGAACCTTGATGTGTCTTCTCAATGACTTATCAATAAACCATTGTTATTTTCATTTTTAAAAGAATCTAATAATATTATTAAATAATATTATTAAATTAGAAAATCTGATTGTAACCTTAGATATCTCTAAAATTAGAGAGGTACTAGTCTTGTTTTACTTTGTGTTGTTCAAACCTTCCCTTAAAATACTGGGGTCTTCTGCCTTGGATTTAGACTCTCCTGATAACCCACCCTTGGGATGCTTAGACCAGCTAGCCAGAGATTACCATGCCCTCACTACGCAGAGCCAATGCCCTTAATCAGCAGGAAGCAGATACAAAAGACTGACTTCCTCCCACATCAAGCCTTAAGGATAAGGGATGGAAATCTTTAAGCTGAGGGGATGCGACAGGAATCATACAGGATGATCACAGATTACGAAAATTCCAGGCAGCAGTTTCACATGACTAGCAAAAGGAAACTGTTGAAATAGCTGCAGAGCCCACGGGCTGATAAGACCCTGAAAAACAGGGTGTGTATCAAGCTGGCTAAGACCAACTGAACCAAACAATAGGTTTGGTTCTGGATTTGTGCTAGATTTCACCTAGGACCTCATTATACACCCGTTAACATACAAATCACACACCTACCAGTGCCATGGCAGTTCCAGGCACACCATATTTGGTGTAAAAATGAGTGACACCACAGTTCTGAGAAACCTTTACCTTTTTCCAGGAATCTTCATGAATATTCCACCCCTTGGTTAAAGAAACCCTGAAGATAGGAACCCCAACCCCCTTGCATGATTCTCTCTTGAGTACATCCCCACTCGGCTTTCTTGAGTGTGTACTTTTGCTTTGCAACAAGAACAAGTCTCGGTACTTCCACTTTAAAAAAAAAAAAAAAAGAATACGGGGCTCTATAAACGTAAAGAAGGATACAGACAAACTGGTAGTCATTCAGGCGGAAAAGCCAGACAGAAAGGAAGCTTGAAACCATTCCATATGAAAAATAGGCAAAGAGTTAAAATATTGACCAGGAAAAAAGAGGCCTCCGGGGATATAAGAGAGTTATTTTTCAGTGTTTGAGGATTTATCTTGCGGGAGAGATATTAAAATCGATCTATCTGTACTCCTAGTGATGTAACTTACCGGAAATGAAGTATTTCTACTTAACACAGGAATATACTTCTTTGTTAATTCAAAGATGGACTGGGCAACACAGGGAAGTGGTTCTCAGTAGTTCCTATCTTTAAGACCAGTGACCCCATACATAACTGGGCAAGGCCAGCTGAGTCGTTTTTCACACCCTCTCTGCATGTCTTCTACACCCTTGAGATCCATCTCCACCTCTCCATCTCCCCTTCTTCATCTTTTCCCTGGAAGACTATAGTTACCTCCTGATTGGTCTCCTTAAATCCATTCTGGCCCCTCCAATCTGTCTGCCATCCTGCAAAAGAAGTGTGAGCTTTCCACAGTGCAAATCTGATATTTTAACACAGCCAGCTGCATGTTTCTTTAATGTCTTCCTCTTTGCTTTGAAAAATAGGACCCAAATTTGGGAGGCGGAGGTGGGCAGATCACTTGAGGTCAGGAGTTCAAGACCAGCCTGACCAACATATAGAAATGCTGTCTCCACTAAAAATACAAAAATTAGTTTGGTGTGGTGGTACTCTCCTCTAATCCAAGCTATTTGGGAGACTGAGACAGGAGAATCTCTTGAACCTGAGAAGCAGAGGTTGCAGTGAGCTGAGATGGCGCCACTGCATTCCAGCTGGGTGACAGAGTGAGACTCCACCGCAAAAAAAAAGAAAAAAAAATAGGACCCAAAGCATAATAGGTGCTCAGGTCCATGGTCTTCCAACCTCATCTTGCTCCCCTTAACTTTCAGTGCTCCAGCCACACTGACCTCCTTTCAGTCCCTGGGAAATATCTTGCTTTTTCTTACAACAGGACTGTGCACACAGAATTCCTTCTACCTGGAATCCGTACTTGCTGCCCTATTCCCCTGGCCAATTCACTGATACTTGCAGTTAGAAGCTCCACTCCCCACCCTCCAATCCAGCATGATTAAGATTCCTGTAACACACTCTCAAACAACCATGGTGGTTTGCTTATTAACACCCCTCTCACGTGATAACATTCTTCTCTGTGATTACTTCCTGCCTCCCATATTATATGATTGGATGCATGAAGGCACATGTTGAAGCTTAGGTGGGTGCCCCTATTTATTTACCGAATGGGTGAATTCATAAGGCTTTGCAGGATTTTGTGAGATCCTGATTACTTGGATGGGATAGCAAAAAAGCATGCAAGTGGCTACAGTGATGGTTTGTCAAGTCCCTAGCAATCTTGAGAGTTTGTCCATTTTGTGCATTTGATTCAGGCTTTTTTCATCATTGTTATAACTTTTTTTTTTTTTTAATTCAGGGCCTACAAAACTACCTATTAATGATACTTGCATTTTGCATCATCTTGACTGGAGCCTTATGCACTGCTTTTTCTAAAATCTAACAGTAACAAGACCAGCAGATGGCAGCAGTGGTTAAGAGAATACGTCTATCGGACAAGAGGGATTATTATGCTGGGAACAGAGTGCATTTTCAAAGCAAATGGATCTCAGCCACTGTTAAGAGTGGGTAAATGATTTTTTTCCCAAAAATGTGAGAATGAAGGAAAACTGAGTTTCATTCAAGTATAAAATGAAAATTTCTTCTGATGAACTGTTTATGAAGGTAGGACTTTACTTGGTGACTAAAATGTCTACATTATTATAGCATTACATATGAGGATGCTCTTTTTACCACAATATGTACCTAGTGTTGCATAATCTAGATCACAGCATGAAGTCCATATACAAAGAAGTTACAGTGCAGATTTCTCACCTATTATTCCAATGAAGTGAGGCAGAAATACCTTGGGCAAGGAGGGAGAGCCTTACCTTATAACGAAATTAGATTCCAAAGATAATTTGGATCCTTTGTTTCATAAAGTAAATGTCATAGTTGGTAACTAAGGCATTAAAAAGCCCATTTTATTATTTTTGGCCAAAACTTATGTTTATTTCAAGTTAATATTGCCCAACTCTACATCATCTACCCATTTTAGCTCATAATGCTTTTGGTTACCTCCAGATAAAAATCCATTCTCAGAAAACAAAAATTTTTCACCATTGAGAATATGTGCATAATGTAATACATACATACGCAAGTACATGCACATACGTAAATACACAAAGATATTGCTAGAGTGAGATTCTAGGTTGTCAGTAACAATTTACAGGAACCAACCACTCTTTTGCATGTACAATTATTTTTTTCTGAAATACCCTTTTCTAAAACCCTCTTAACTGGAGGTTTTCCTGTTTTCTTCTTGTTTTAACTGGTGGTTTCCAGTAGGCAAGATAAAATTACAGGCATGCCAGTTGTATTTTTTTAAGAAAACTGAAATTAAGTCAGAGTGGCACACACCTGTAATCCCAGCTACTGAGGAGGCTGAAGCAGGAGGATCACTTAGCCCAAGAGTATGAATTTGCCAGCCTGGGTGACATAGCAAGGTCCCATCTCTAAAAAAGAAATTCAACTTAAATTTATAAGAAAAAAGAAAACCGAAACAGAACTGCTAGTACAAATTGTTTATTGCAATTGTTTCCAAAACCTGGAAATAATATAACCCCTATTCAAATGTACGTTTTACCCATTCCCACTTGATAGTACTGCATACTACTTTGCTATGCAAGAGAAACAAAACAGCATTCTATTTGTGTGTATACTCTGAAGTCCATGTGCCTGGGTTTAAATCCCATCTCTGTTTCATTTTATTTGTGTGGCTTTGGGCAAGTTCTTAAGGCCCCTGTATTAGACCCCTCATTTTCAAAATGGAGTTTATGATGGCACCTACCTCACATGGTTATTATGTGATTGAAATTAGTTAAAATCTGTAAACTATGTTGATGAGTATCTGGTACTTGACAAACACTATGTAATTGTTAGCTTTTATTATTATGTGTTGTTTGAAGGGGAGAAAAACTTTTGTAGATTGGAGAATACTATGTAAGAGCTACTGAGCTCACCACCTTCCAATCCAAACAATTATTACTCTCCAAATGTATACTACTTAAAAGTGATACAGCTTCTGTTTGGTTATTGAATTGCTAATATTGCAAATATTCTGTTTATTGAATTGCTAATAATTGCAAATAAATATTTGATTATAACTTCTTATACTCATTTTAATTTTAACCTGAAATGTCATTAAATTATGCTGATAACATTGAATAAATTGTGATACAAAAGCTATTTTTCTCACTTAAATATATTTTAGAATTTTATATTGGATAATGTTTAATTATTCTTTGGTTGAGATTTCCAGTTTATATGCAAAATTTTACATGTGAAGTAAAGCAATTGCGTAAGAAAAATGAAAAATCAATCTTACTACTTCTGTTTAGTTTCTGGTACCAGACAAGCTTTTTCAAAATAGTTACCAAAAAAGCAACTTATTAGTTAGAGGCTAGTCTAAATGGGCAATTGCCAAAAAATGCATTTTGTTTGTACCTTGGGAAGTGAATGCCTAACTCTCTTGAGGTTTTTAGGCTTTATTTTTTCTAATCTAGTATGGCTAAATTCTAGTGTTTATTTTACACTTTTTTTTTTCTGATGTCACTTTCTATCAAATGGCAACCCTGTCCATACTAAAGAGATCCTGCCATCTTGTGCACAGAGATGAGAGATGGCACTATATGCAGTAGAAGTAGCAGCCAGTCAGGCTAGTATCCGATTACGGGAATTTTCTATCTTAGGAACAGAAAATTCTAATAAATTTTAAAGGATTTAGTACAGCATCTCCCCAAGCTACCAACTCTCTTTTTATTCCTGTTATTTATTTATATTTGGAATTACTAACTACTAGACTTATATGTCTCAATATTGATTACAAGAAGAATCTTCTGAAATGTCAGGCAACTGCATCTGCAGACCGCAGTCTGCGGTAAAGCTCAAGCAATTCAACTTTTTCTAATAATGTCATGACTTTTCTCTGCTACTTGGGAGCACTTCCAGCATCGCTAGTGGAGCTCCACATGGGTCCCATGGTGCTGTCCAAGATTTACAAGGTTTAATTTTATTGCAACAAAAATGATGAAAAATATGCAAGAACTGCAAGAGATCGTAACCACCAGAGGCAATTGACTAGGGAGACGGTCAGCTCACCTGAAGATGATTAGCACCACATGGGTTTTAAGTGGATAGTCGCAACGCTAGAGCTCACCACAATAGCAACAGGAGATTTTAAATAGATTTGTGTATATTTTATGGTAGTAAATGATAAAATAGACTAATACATATATATATAGACTAATATAGAGAGAGACTAATATATATAGACTAATATATATATATAGACATATATATAATGTATATATATAATGTATTCATCACATACACAAAGAAAAGGGTTTACCTTACTTGGCAAAAGGGACTTGCATATGTCAATAAGGACCTTGAGATGTGAAGAGTACTCTGATTATCCAGGTGGTCACGATGTAATCTCAAGGGTCCTCGAAAGCGGAAGAGAAAAATCAGAGTGAAGAAGGAGATACAATGATGGAAACGGAGGTCAGAGTGATGTAATATGAGAAGGATTAAATCCAGAAATTGCTGAATTTTGAGATGGGGGAAGGGACCAGAGGCCAAGACATGTGGGCAGTTTTTAGAAGCTGGAAAAGACAAGCAAATAGATTCACTCTTACAGCCTCCCGAGGACACAGCCTTGCCAGTCCCCTGGTATTAGCCCATGTCAGACTCTTAATCCACAGCACTGTAAGAAACAACATTTGCATTGTTTAAAGCCACTAAATTTGTGATGATTTGCTACATTAGCAATGGAAAGACAAAAATATTACATTTACGTTTAAAATTATTATTAAAAAATAAATGCCGTTTATTCTATAGAAACTTAACTCCACATCTCACTTATTTATCTCATTGCTACCCCTCTTTTTCCTCTTCTTTTGGCACGTTAGAAAGAATACGACTTTTGGGCCAGGTGTGGTGGCTTACACCTGTAATACCAACACTTTGGGTTCCAAGGTGGGCAGATCACCTGAGGTCAGGAGTTCGAGATGAGCCTGGCCAACATAGTGAAACCCTGTCTTTACTAAAAATACAAAAAAAATAGCTGGGTGTTGTGGTGGTTGCCTGTAATCCCAGCTACTCGGGAGGCTGAGGAAGAGGAATCGCTTGAACCCGGGAGGTGGAGGTTGCGGTGAGCCGAGATCGCGCCATTGCACTCCAGCCTGGGCAACAAGAGCAAAACTCCGTCTCAAAAAAAAAAAAAAGGAATACAGCTTTTGTTCTAGATTTATACAAAGAAACACACTTGGTGTTTTCTCATATTCTATTATTCCCACTCTTAGAGTCTTAGAAGGTTTCAAATTTGCAAACAGAGATGCGTTGGATATGGTCATGATCTGAGAGCCAAAAAAAATTCGACGATTCTCCTGGCCTTGCCTCTGGTAGGTGACATCACTTTGTGAGGTATTTTAACTTCCTCATATTTCTAAATGATTGTTTTCTACTAAAGGAATTCTAAATTTCTGCAAATATAAAACGTTGTTACTATGGACACATTCTAGTGGTGTAATTTAATAGTATCCCAAGTCGCTTCAAGGTTCACCTTATACATTTGTGTCCCATTCCTGAAGTACATAATGGGATAGGACCCCCCAAACATTGCGTGGAGTCACCCCTTTGCAAAGTGATAAGGTGGTCTAGCACTCCCTTTTTTGAAATCCTGAGTGTGGGCACTTATAACCCTTTAAGTTAAGGCCCCAACACTGATAAAATAGGAAAAGTCTCATTTTAACATGTGACTCTCAAAATAGGTCCACACATTTTTGTGTGGGTTCCCTACTCACATACGGACTGGTAAAATCCATATCCGCTTACCTTAATTCGACAGTATCACCTGTGGAATGAAGGTGTTCAGGTGAAGTATGTCACATGCATAAATGTATTTGATAACCATTTTAAAATCTATATTATTTTTTAAGTAAAGGAACTGAGCCTCAAGACATCGCAGTGCCTTATTTTTAGCCATGCTGTAAGTATGTCACAGAGTCAGACCTTTGAGTCAGAGTTTTCTACTCTAATCATTTAATATTCATGAAATGTCAGCCACGTGTGAGGCGTGGGGAACAGAAGAAAGAACTAAAGAGAACGCTCTACGCTCCTCCTCAAAAGGAGCCCACATTTCCTAGATTAAGCTTCTCTTCTTGTTTGTCTCCTGTAATACTAGCCCATTTCTCTGCTTCACACTCTCATTATCTTTAAACACTTTTCTCTCTCCTCAGAGCTACAGGGTTCTTGATCTCACAGTACATTTCTGATTTACCTTTGTAGTATCCCTTCACTGATTTAGGTAGCCAATACAACATTTTTACAAAATACATACAATGAATATTTACTGAGTGAACGAAAGGAAGCTAAATCCTAAAGGCCTCATTTCGTGCTAAAATTATCTTGTGCCTTGTATTTAGGTTTCACATTGAAAGGAACATTTTGAGAAACTGCTTCACTAAAAGACATTTGAATTCAAGACAATTTACACTTTCAGTATGTAACCATTTTCACCATAGCCCACATTCAGTTAATACAGTGGATAAAACTTAAAAAGTATAATGGGAAACTCTTTTAGATACTCTTTACTTGTCAGAAAGAACAAAAGTAAAACTTGTAATTTGTGTCACAGCTTAAATGAATATAAAAAGGTAAAAGAATATTTTATGGTTAGAATAAAAAGAGGAGCCAAATAAAATTACTTACACTTTTCTTTTTTTCTTGTTTTTTTTTTTCTTTGAAGCTCAAGGAGTACATTCACACAAAAAAAATTGTATTGGCTCCCATGTGAAATTATCAGGGAAGATGTTAAAACTAAACAGCCAAAAAAAAAAAAAAAGTGTCAGTGCAGGCTTTAGTTTTTCCCAAATAGAAAAATGAATATTCTAAGCAAATTAGAAATTAAAAATATTAAATGTATTAAAGCTGTAATGAATTCTACATTGCTCCCTTAAGGAAAAGAAATATCTGTACCTGTAAGATGTATCTGACATTCACAAACAGTAACCACAAAAAAAAAACACCAGGTTTTGTTGCTGGGTTGAGATTCTAAATTCTGATGTTCTGAAAATAATGCATGTCTCTCTCTCTTTTTTTTTTTTTTTTTTTTTTTTGACAGTCTTGCTCTGTAACTAGGTGCCATGCTAGAGTGCAGTGGCACGATCTCGGCTCACTGCCACCTCCGCCTCCTGGGTTCAAGCAATTCTCCTGCCTCAGCCTCCTGAGTAGCTGGGACTACTGGTATACACCACCACACCCAGCTAATTTTTGTATTTTTTAGTAGAGACGGGGTTTCACCATGTTGGCCAGGATGATTTCAATCTCTTGACCTCGTGATCCACCTGCCTCGGCCTCCCAAAGTGCTGGGATTACAGGCGTGAGCCACCTCGCCGGGCCATGTCTCCATGTCCCTAAAATTTTTATTTTAATGTGCATGACAATACAGCATGAAATAATTTATAGACTACTTTCTTAAAATTTAAGTAGTTTAAGATATCCAGGAAAATATTCTTTCCTATTATTTTTGCATAAATGATAGCATTAATGAATATTCACATCCTAGGTATATAATTAGTATCATTCAATACAACTTTGCTGTATATAGTCCCTGCCCTAAGTTAGGAAAGTTTATGAGAATTGGGACCTCTCCACAGAGCAGTCATTCAACTTTAATAACTAGGGGAATTATTGTAGTCAGGTAATTGGTTAAAATGTAATATTCACACAAAATGAGGTATCTGATTGTCTTACCTTCAGTTATTATTGTATATTAATCTTTAATTCATCTGTAAATACATTTTCAAATTTGACCACCAGAGGGAAGTGTAGGGTTAATTATGATAGTCTTTGGTAGTCTCTGTAATGAAATGTCAACTTTTTGAAGTTTGGGTTGTCTCTCTCCTACTCTCTGTCTCTTCCCCTCCTTCCTTCCCTCCCTTCTTCTCTCTCTCCTATATCTCTCCTCTCAAATGACCGTATTTTGCCATTTATAGATTTTTTAAAAATCTGAACTACAAAAAAAACCTATCTTCTATTTCACATG